ATAAAATATAATAATAATAAAATAATAAAATAATATAAAATAATAATAACTAAAAATATTAATAAAATAAATTAATTATCATTTAATTTATTTTACAATGATTTAAAATGAAAATTAAGTAAAAAAAAAAACTCGGTTACGAAAAATAAAAAATTAAAAAAAAAAAATTTTAAAAATTTTTAAAAAAAAAATTTTAGCGTGGGGCTATAAAAAATTTTTTTTTAAAAAAATCAGTTTTACGGTCATATTGAAGTATGTGTCACCATATAACTTTTTTTTATCTCTATCTTTTATCATTGTGGACTTATCTCTTTTCTATCTTTTCAATAATGGATCAATCTTTATACATATATCAATAATCCATCAAATATATAAATATTAATCAAATATTATTATTATTTACAGTCTGTCTACGTTACTCTTATAAAAGACAAAATGAGTCAATTCCCAGCTGCTTTAAACCCACACCAAGAAGATATCTTAAAAATGTTAGCTTGCCAAACCCATCTTGGTAGCAACAACGTTTCCATCGATATGGAATCATACACCTGGAAGAGAAAGGACAACGGTCACTTCATCATCAATCTTGCCAAAACTTGGGAAAAGATTCAATTAGCTGCTCGTGTCATCGTTGCCATTGAAAACCCAGCTGATATCTCTGTCATCTCAGCCAAACCATTAGGTCAAAGAGCCGTCCTCAAATTCGCCAACTTCATTGGTGCCACCGCCTTCTCAGGTCGTTTCACCCCAGGTACCTTTACCAATCAAATCCAATCCAAATTCACTGAACCACGTCTCTTAATCGTTGCTGATCCATTATTAGATCGTCAACCATTAATTGAAGCTTCATACGTCAATATCCCAACCATCGCTCTCTGTGATACCTCATCATGTTTAGACGGTGTTGATATTGCCATCCCATGTAACAACCGTGGTAAAAACTCAATTGCCCTTATGTTCTGGTTATTAGCTCGTGAAGTTTTATACTTAAGAGGTACCCTCCCACGTAACACCTCATGGAGTGTTAAAGTTGATCTTTTCATCTACAGAGATACTGATGAAGAACCAGAAAAAGAAAAAGAAAGATTAGTCGCTGCCCCAGCCACCACTGAAGTTGTCGATTTCTCTGCCCCACAACAAATTGCTGAATGGTCTGCTGAATCAAAATAAATAATAAATTAAAATAATATTGTTTATATTTAAAAAAAAAAAAAAAAGGAAAATTTTATAATATATGTGCATGTGTTAAATTTATTTAGTTTTATAAAATTTTTTTTTATAATATAAAATCTATTTAGATAGCAGGTTATCATGATTAAAGATATTTTTTTAAAAAAGAAAAAAGGAATCGGGAAAAAAATTATATATAATAAAATGGATTTAGAAAATAATAACGGTAACGGTAATAATAATATTGATAAAAATATTGATAATGATAATACAAATAATAAATATTATTATTATAATACCAATATTCACAATATAAATAGTAATAATAATAATCATAGTAGTTTTTGAACAATATAATGGTATTAGTGCAGGTCAAGATAATAGCACAGATGAATACCAAAGTTTAAAAAATCAACATAAAAGTTTAATTATAAAAAAGAATCTTTTTTATTTTTTTTTTTATTTTTTTTTATTTTTTTATTTTTTGAACTAATTATTATTTAATAATTAATTAAATGAGAAAAACTAGTGTATTTATTTTAAAAAAATAAATTTAATTCTTAACTAGCCAAAAGAAATCTCTTATAATTTCCATCTACAGGGCCAAATCCAGTGATATCTTTTAATTGATAACCTTGAAGTAGAGCAATTTGAACCAATTGAATAATTTATATTATAAACCCAATATAAATTTTGACCTAAAGAATCAAAATAATAATTATTATTATTATTATTAAAAGAGTAATTATAATAATAATTATCATTGATATTAAAATGTAAATCAAGGTGCCAAGATTTACATGATGTTCCATTTACCGGTGTGCTTGTAGTGGACGAGGATATTATGAATTCTACGTCTGATCTTTGCATTCTTGTCATTATGCATACCCTCCAAAGCTCTGATAACGGACTCTTCTCTCCAGATTGGGGATCCATCACACAAGTTGTGCATGGCTTGGTAACGTACCTTTGGGTCATCATCCTGAGACATTTCAATGATACGGTCCCACAATTGGTCGATGTCAGCCTTGACCTTACATGGGCACATTGAACGGAGAGTTAATAGTCTAACACGGCTATCACTTGAACGAGTTAACGATAAGTATTGTTCCATTGTTAAGTTTGGGTCGTCTAATTTTGGTTCAGCATTTGGGTTGACGGTGCAGACTAAGTGTGGTTTGCTCTTTTCAATGTTGAAAGAAATAAGACCTTTACGTTTTAACAAGGCTACAAGAGTATTGAAAACATCTTCGACTTCTTGTTCATTACTGATAATTTCAAATTCCTTGCAAAAGACTGAGAACTGTTCTTTTAGCTCTTCAAATGACTCGCATTCTGAAATTAGACCAGATAAATAGGCAACAGAATCTTGTTCTAAATTATCGTTGGTATTAATGCTAATGAATGATTCATTAATACAATTAATAATTTCATTTGATGTTGACATTTTTTTTATTTGTTAGAATTATGTTTTATATAAAAAATTAAAAAAGAAATGTAATTATAAAATTTATTTTTTTTATTTATTTTTTTTATTTGTTTTGTTTATGTTTTATAAAAAAATAAATCTTATTTTATAAATAGGGTTTTTTTTTAAAATTATTATTATTTTTAATTTCCCAAATTTATTTGGTGTTATTATTTTTATTATTATTTTTATTATTTTGAGAAAAATATTTGAAATGATATAAATATTACTGAAATTTAATTGAATGTTAATCTAGTTTAATAAAGGCTGTGTGTTCTATTTTTATTTTTTATTATCTAAAATAAATCCCCATTATTCAAATATATACTGAAAAATAAACATATAAAAATAATTATTATTATTTTCTTAAAAATTATATTTTTTATTATAATTATTTTTCTCAATTATTAATTACTAAATTAATATTATGAACATAGAGAAACTTAAAAAATATTATCTTTCTTAAAATGAGCAAATTCTATATTATTAGAAAATTTTTAATATTATTTATTTAATAATTACAAACTTAAAAAATATTTTAATTATTTTAATTTAAATTTTAATTTTTTTTTTTTTATTTTTTTATTTTTTTATTTTTTATAATTTTTTTTTATTTTTTTATTTTTTTTTTTATTACACATAATATTTTTTTTTTTTTTTTAATTATATATTTTATACACGTGTGTTTTTTAATTTTATATTCATTTATATATTTGTTTTTTAAAAATATAGATATACTATGGAGTTAAAATCAAGAACAGAGGATTTAGTTCGAAAGACTATATCTAAAATTGTACAATCTGTTTTACTTTCAAGAATTGAAATAACAAGCTCTAAAAGGATAAATAAAAGTGTATGTTTTAGAATAAATATAGGTTTCATAGCTAAAATATTTTTTTATACAATAGTTTTCTAATTTTCATTTAAAATGACAGTTTCATTTAGAGGCAGAGGAATCGGAACAAATTCAAAAAACTTTAGAATCAGCAATATTTAACCCTCAAAATGGTTTTAAAAATTTATTTGTTTTAGAAATACATTTTGACGAAAATCAAGGTTTAGGTATTAACACAATAGTCGAATCATGGAGAATTGTTTTTGAACCATTGTAAGTAAAATACAATAAAACTATTCAGACATATATAGGGGTTATGGTTAACATGGATTTTTTTTTTTTTTTTAAAATTATGCAGCAGAGACATTGACGATAAAATTGAGTTACCAAAATTTTATAGAAATGTTATTATTTTAGTAAGAACTGTTTATGCAATGTTAAGAAATATACCATGTTATTCTTTGTATAGAAATTTTTCAAAAAATAGATCATCGACATGTTCAATGAAATATCAAATTAGAATTTGTGATATGCAAACCATTTCAGCTCCATTATTTCCATTATGTATGTATTTAAATAGTATAGTTTTAATCGGAGATAAAAGTTTATTTATATTAATATTTAAATATCTATTTTACAGCAACAAGCATTAAAAGTTTTCAATTTACTACAATTGCATCACCTTTGGGAAATTTAAAAATTGATTTAGTTTATAAAGAAAATTTATCTAGAGAAATTTCAATTAGTTCACAAATTGGATTGGAATCGCAATTTATTATTAAAGACTATAACAATACATCGAATAATATAACAATTGGAAATAAAAATAATAATAATAATAATAACAATAATAATAGTAATAATAATAATAATAGCATGAATAACTACGAATATGTTTCAGACTCATTATCATCCTCATTACATAAAGAGCTATATGGGTCATCAATACCACATCCATCAAGAATGAATTCATTACAGGATTTATTAAATCAAAATCAAAATCAAAACCAAAACCAAAACCAAAAACAACCATATCAACAACAAAATTTATATCCAAAAATATCTCCATATGACGATAATTTGGTTTTTAATAATATAAATAATAATATGAATAATAATAGTAATAATAATAGTTTTCAATATAGTAATCCTATTGGTATACCAGGTAGTCAAAATGATATAGGTTTTAATGGTTATAATAATAGTTTTGGTGGAGCCCATAGTAACCCAATTGTAATACCTAGTAATAACAGCCCAAATAGTAGTAATAATCAATATTCAAGACAACCCCATTCACTTCCAACACATCAATCAAACAAACCGGGCTCATTGTCATCCTCACCACCCTTTTCAACCAAAACAGGAAATTATACATCTGGTTCATCACCACCATTTGGTTCAAATAATATAAATATATTAAGTGGGAATAGTGGAAGTGGTAATGGTAGCGGACCTTTACCTATTAAACAGGTTAATTTTAATATAGCAAATCCAAATAATGTACTATCAAACTCACCATCACCAACTTCATATAACCAATCACAACAACAACAAAAAAATAGAGTTTCATCAGCACCAATTGCGATTTCAAATCAACAGCCACCTTTTCCAAATTTCCAAAAATCATCATCATCAGGCACAAAAAGCCCACCATTTCATGTCAGTATATCACCATTTAAAGAGCCATCAACATTAGATTTTTATAATAATAATAATAACAATAACAATAGTGGCGGTAGTAATAGTAATAGCTTTAGTGGTGGTGGTGGCTTAGTTGGTAATAATAGTAGTAATAATTTACAACTATTAAATAATAGCAGTGGTTTAGTTGGTAATAATAGTAGTAATAATTTACAGTTATTAGGTAACAGTGGACTCTATAATAGCTCATCACCAGGATCAATTCATTCATTTGGGGCAAGTGGAATTGAAAAATTAAATTTATCAATAAAGAATAGCAAGCTCAGTCAAATCCATGGTCCATTATCAACTTTAAGCAGCGAACATCACCAAAATCAATATCTTTTAAATAGAGATTCCAAAACATTGTCACCAAGTTTCTATGATGAAAATGAAAATGATGATGCAGCATTCTTAACCTCCAGTATAACTCACTCGAAACAAAATTCAAGCGAAACTGAAATTGCTGAATTTTTAAAACTTTGTAAAATAGCACCACCTTTAAACCTCTTTAGTAATAACGACAGAAACCTAACATCGAATTCTCAACACTCACTTCAAATAGGGAACGAAATTATGCTTTTAAGTAATATAAATTTTGTTAACAAACCTTAAATTTAAAAAGTAATATTTTAATATAATAAAAATAATAAATATTTACTATTAATAAATATTAACAAAACAAATAAAATTATAAATAAGATTTATAAACATTCCCTAACAATAGAAATAATAATAATAATAATAATAATAACAATCTTTTTTTTTTTTTTTTCATATCTAATATTCTCTTTACTTTTTAAAATTAATAATAAAAAAATAAAAAAGTTTTATTTTCTTTAAAAATTAAAAATTTTTATATCTTTAACTTTAAACCCATATTAACTATAATTAATAAGCAATCGTTTATTATTTTATATATTAACATTTTTTTTATTTTTAATATTAACAATAAAAAAAAGGTATTTATAAACTAATTTTTTTCATTTTTTCATAAATTAGATTTATATTAAACAGAGATTGTTAAAAAAAAAAACTTTGTTAAGGAAACATGGCAAGTATTATAACTGCGGTAGTTGGTGAAATATTTATTGAATTTAATGAAAGCATAGGAAAAGAATCAATTGCTTTTTTAGCAAATTTAATTTCAGAATGCACTGATGCCAGTGATTTAAAAGAACAATTTAAAATTTTTTGTAAAAAACACTCCATCACAAAAGAAGAGGAAAAGAACGAACTTTATGAAAAAGTAGTTGATACCTTAAAAAACAATAAAGAGCTATCTAAAGAATTACCAAATGACCATCCATTAATAAAATCTAATAGCAGCAAACCCACCAATAATGAAAAAAATCGAGGATCGTCAATACTAAGTTCAAGTAGTAATGAAACCAATGACATAAATGAAATCAAACAATAGTTATAATTAAATTATCAAATATTTAATTTAATTTTAATTTTTTTTTTTTAAATTAATCATTTATAAAAATTTAATACAAATAATAAATAAAATTAAAAATTATTATTATTATTTAATTTATTTTATATTTTTTTTAATATTTTAAAAAAAACAACCTATAGTACTTTTTATTTTAATAATAAAATTTCTTTAAGATTAATCTGTTTTTGATTTTTTTTTTTTTTTGAATAAAATAAATGGAGGATTTCAAACTGTCAAATAAACTAAATCCCAATAACTTAAATAAAACCATAGGAGTATTTCTTTATTCATTTCTTATTATATTATTGGAGAGTTGTAAAATGTTAAATTAATAAAACAAAAATTAAAAAAAAAAAAAAAAAAAAATTAAATAAATTAAATAAATTAAATCCAAATTAGGATAATTAAAAAAAATTGAACTAACAATGTTATACAAAATTAAAAAAATATTATTCATTAAATAATTAAAAAAATTAAAATAAAACAAATAACAATACAACCAAATACCACACTCTCACATAAAAAACATATATATAAATTTAAATAAAAATTCAAAACACCCATCTCTATCCACTCACACAATTAGTTAATTTTAAATAATATCATACCAATATAATTTTTATTTTATTTTATTTTTATTTTTTTTTAATATTGTATTTACTTGAATAATATAAACATTCAAAAAAAAAAAAAAAAAAATATTATATCTATTTTAATAGTTTATATTTTATTTTTTACAATTTTATATAAAAAAATATTAAAAAAAAACAAAAAATGAATTCCCTTTTTTTAACATCCAATGATGATACTACTAATAAAATAGTATTTCGAGTATTAGATGGTAAGGCAGTATGCTATTGTTCACATCCATCTGTTTTATTTTGCAAAAACTGTGTACAAATGACTAGAAATGTAAATATTTTAAAATATTTTTAATTTTAATTTAAATAATTATTAATTTCTAATTGATATTTTTAAACTAGATTGTTAATTCATGGGACTATGAACCAGAGGGATATTTCGAGAAAGAAGATTTAATTGGTCAAACTCTTTTTCATAAATCTAGATCTCATCTACTTGAAATATTTAAAGTATTAAGAAGTATGGAAAATAAAAGATTGGATTCTATACTATCCCAAATCATGGACTTGCAAAAAAAGGATGACTTTGAAGGTTTTGGTGCCGCTATGAGTCATATTACAAATTTTGATGAAGTAAAAGGCAAATTAGATGATAAAGAAGAATTAGAAAAAGTTGGTGTTCCAAGTGAATCAACAAAAAATATTGACCAAGATGAAGTATTCGAAGAAACCAGTGACTCTGCCGATGAAAATGATGAAGAGTTTGAAGATGGTAACGAAATAGATGAAGAAGAAATTATAGTATTAAAACCATCTTCAAATAAAAAACCAACTGCATCAAAAAAAGGTGGTAATAAAAGTAACACTACAAACAAAAACAATAATGACAATACCCCAATTAAAATTAATATTATCGATGGGGACAACAACGGCGATTTTGATATCAAGGTCAACAAAAAAACCAATGAAACAAATAAAAGAAATAGAAAAAATTAATATTTTTAAAACAAAATATTAAAATAACTAGTATAGTAAACAATAGTGGATCAACAATAATTAAACCAATAATCAATAATAAAAAAAAAAAAATTTTAAAAAAAAAAATTAACAACCAAACTTTTAAATAAATTTATATAAAAAAAAAAAAAATTTTCCCCATCAAAATCTTATTTAAACAGATTACCAAAAAAATTAAATTATTTTTCTACACAATATAAAATAAAAGTAACGGTTTTTATTTTTTATTTTTTTTTATTTTTATTTTTTGCATTTTTTATAATTTTCTAAAAATAAAAAAAAAAAAAAAAAAAAAGAAAAAAAAAAAGATATCGTTTAAAATTTAATTTATATTATAGTTTTTATTTATTATATATTTATTTAAAATGGTATCGTTTAATGGAAAATTCAATGATGATTTACTACCTAAAACACCAAGATATTTAAAAGTTCCTTTAATATTTTTTAATTTAGTTTTATGGGTAAAATTATTTATTTTATTTTTGTTTATTCTTTCATATTTATTAATTTTATTTTATTTATTTAGGTTTTAGGATTAGTTTTATTAATTATAGGTGCTGTTGCTGTATCATTTTTTTCCAACCTTAAAGATTTCAAAGAAGCTGCAGATACTAAAACAGCCCTAAATCACCTAACTACATCAGTGCCAGTTGGTGTTATGGTTATTGGTGTATTTTTTATTTTATTTACCTTGTTTGGATGTTTTGCTGCATATAAAGAACGTTTGGTTACATTGGTAATCTATTGCTTTTTAATGTTAATTCTTTTAGTTATTTTAATTGGTATGGGTGGAAAATCCATTACCTTACATAATAATGATGTTGTAGCTGTACTCGGTGATAGTTGGCAAGATGTTTCTAATAACCAGAAAAAGAACTCTACAATTACTAAACTTGAGACATTTTTAGAATGCTGTCAATGGAACTCCACCGTTAGTGTAGATACTCCCCAATTTAAAGACCTATGCCCCAAAGATGATGACGGTAATGCTAAATACATTGATAACTATTGTGAAACTGAACTACAAAAACAACTATCTTCAAATCTCTATATCGTTGGTGTTACCTCCATAGTTATTGGTGTAATTGAATTCTTCTGTATGCTATTTTCTTTGTTTTTAATTATCCGTATTTGCAAATCCCCACGATCTAAATATAATAGTGATTATTAAAATAAATAAAGAAAAAAATATATTTTTGTATTATAAAGAAATAAAAAGAGAAAAAAATTTTAATTTAAAAAATTTATTATATTCATAATAATTTTGAAACCTCACTATTTTTATTAAATGTATTTCTATTTTTGATTGATTAAGGTAAAAATGTTCATATTGTTTATTGTAATTATTAAATTTTTTTTTTTTTTTTTTTTTTTTTTTTTTTTTTTTTTTTTTTTTTTTTTTTTTTTTTTTTCAAACGTGAATTTAAATTCACTTTTTTCCTTTTTTTTTTAATTTTTTTTAATTTTTTTTTTAAAAATTTTTTTTTCTTTTTTACAAAATTTTTTTTTTTCTTTTCTTTGTTGCTACTTCAGTTAGAGAACATAACAAACAAAAAAAGTATGTATACATCAAAATAGAAAAATACATTTTATAATAATAATTTTTTTCCTTTTAAAATAAATAATAAAATTACTTTTTTAAAAGAACATAGATATAATCATATTTTATTTAGTTTTTTTTGTTAACATAATTATATTGTTTTATTATTTTCTATCAGAATAGTTACAAATAATTTGTTTTTTATTTTTTTTTTTTATTTCATAATAATAAATACATTTTATAATAATAAAAAAAAAATAATAATGTATTTTCATAATAAAAAAATATTTTTATAAATAATAAATAATTATAGTAGATCTTTATAATTATTTATTATTATTTTTAATAGATTCCAAAAAAAAAATAAATAAAAAAAAAAAAATAAAAATAAAAAAAAAATAAAAAAATAAAAATAAAAAAATATTTTTAAGTCACCCCCTTATTTTGGCAGCTCCAGATTGGAGAAAATTAAAAAAAAATTAAATTTAAATTAGGGTGTTTGTCAACTAGTTTTCATCTAAAAATTCACCAATTTTATTTTGAAATTGCCTTTGTTAAATAATTTTTTTTTTTTCGTCGGCTATAAAAAGTTTAAAATTTTTTTTTTCTTTACTTTTTAAAAGTTGTTCAACTAATATAAATATAAATAATATTCAGATATATAAATATAACAGTTTATATAATAATAACATTTATACGCACTAACTTAATTTAAAATATAATTTAAATTATTTAAATAATCTATATATACTTTTTTTTTTTTTGTACATATAAACATATACATATATAATATATAAAGTAATTATTTATTTTGTTTATTTTTTTTTTTTTTTTAAAAATACGAAAATAAAATTTATAAATATTAACATTTTTTTTTATTATTTTTTTTCTAAAGATGTCAAGTATTGGTATTGATTTAGGTACTACTTATTCATGTGTTGGTGTCTGGCAAAATGATCGTGTTGAAATCATTGCCAACGACCAAGGTAACAGAACCACCCCATCATACGTCGCTTTCACTGAAACCGAACGTTTAATTGGTGATGCTGCTAAAAACCAAGTTGCCATGAATCCATCAAACACTGTTTTCGATGCCAAACGTTTAATTGGTCGTAAATTCTCAGACAAAGAAGTCCAATCAGATATGAAACATTTTTCATTCAAAGTTGTTCCAAAGGAAGGTGACAAACCATACATCCAAATTGAATTCAAAGGTGAAACCAAAACTTTCTCACCAGAAGAAATCTCCTCAATGGTTTTATTAAAGATGAAAGAAACCGCTGAAGCTTACCTCGGTAAAACCGTCAACAACGCCGTTATTACTGTCCCAGCTTATTTCAATGATTCACAACGTCAAGCCACTAAAGATGCCGGTGCCATTTCAAAATTAAACGTCCAACGTATTATCAATGAACCAACTGCCGCCGCTATTGCCTACGGTCTTGAAAAGAAAGGTGCTGGTGAAAAGAACATCTTAATTTTCGATCTTGGTGGTGGTACATTCGATGTTTCATTACTTACCATTGAAGATGGTGTCTTTGAAGTCAAAGCTACTGCTGGTGATACCCATTTAGGTGGTGAAGATTTTGATAATCGTATGGTCAACCATTTCGCTGATGAATTCAAACGTAAACACAAGAAAGATATCATGGGTAACCAACGTGCTGTCCGTCGTTTAAGAACCGCTTGTGAACGTGCCAAGAGAACCCTCTCCTCATCAACCCAAGCTTCAATTGAAATTGATTCATTATATGAAGGTATCGATTTCTACACCTCAATGACCAGAGCTCGTTTCGAAGAACTCTGCTCAGATCTCTTCCGTGGTTGTATCGACCCAGTCGAAAAAGTCCTCAAAGACTCCAAATTAGATAAGAAATCAATCCACGAAATCGTCTTAGTTGGTGGTTCAACTCGTATTCCAAAAGTTCAACAATTATTACAAGACTTCTTCAACGGTAAAGAACTCAACAAATCCATCAATCCAGATGAAGCTGTTGCTTACGGTGCTGCCGTCCAAGCTGCCATTCTTTCAAACGAAGGTGGTGCTAAAGTTGCTGATCTCTTACTTTTAGATGTTGCTCCATTATCATTAGGTTTAGAAACTGCTGGTGGTGTTATGACTACTTTAATTCCACGTAATACTACTATTCCATGCAAAAAGAACCAAACTTTCTCAACCTACGCTGATAACCAACCAGGTGTTCTCATCCAAGTCTTTGAAGGTGAACGTGCTATGACCAAAGATAACAATTTATTAGGTAAATTCGAATTATCAGGTATTCCACCAGCCCCAAGAGGTGTTCCACAAATTGAAGTTACTTTCGATATTGATGCCAACGGTATCTTAAACGTCTCTGCTGAAGATAAATCAACTGGTAAGAAACAAAAGATTACCATTACCAACGACAAAGGTAGACTTTCAAAAGAACAAATCGAAAAGATGGTTGCTGATGCTGAAAAATACAAAGCTGAAGATGAAGCCCAAAAAGACCGTGTTGAAGCTAAGAACAAATTAGAAAACTATGCCTTCACTGTTAAAAACAGCGCCAACGACGAAAAAGTTGCTGCCAAATTATCAGACGACGACAAGAACACCCTTAACACTGAATGTGAATCAGCCCTCAAATGGTTAGAATCAAACCAAACTGCTGAAAAAGACGAATATGAAGCTAAAATGAAAGCCTTAGAACAAATTGTCAACCCAATCATGACCAAATTATACCAAGAAGGTGGTATGCCAGCCGGCGCTGGTATGCCAGGTGGTATGGACGAAGAAACCCCATCCAAACCAAGCGGTACCGTTGATGAATTAGATTAAAATGTTTCCTTTCCTCATTAAATAATAATAATAAAATATATAATTTTTTTTAGTTAAAATAATTTTAGTTTTTCATTTATTTTATTTTATAAAAAAAAAAAAAAGTAATAATCAATTTAAATACTAATATTTTATAAAAAAAAAAGTTTATTTAAAAATTAAAGTAAAGTTTTTTAAAATCATCATGGTTTTTTAACTTTTTATAAATAAAAAATAATAAATCTGGTAGTTTTGATTCGAAATACTTTATCACACTTTCATGACTCGACAGAGATAAAATGATGGCTTCGTTATTATTGTTATTGCTATAGTGATTTATGTTGTATTCTTGGATTATTTGTTGTATTTCTTTGTGGTGTTGAATTGTATTTCTAATGCATCTTATTAAATCTTTGATGGAGTCATAATTGTAGATATATGTTTTTTTGTTATTTTGTTTTTGTTTTTTTTGTTTATTTGTAATATGGTCTATTAATACGGTATCAATAATTTTATTCCAAGGTTTACCTAAATATAATGTATTGCTACTACAGCCACTATCTTCAATATCTATAAAGTTTAATAATCTATTTAAATTTGAATCAAATAGATTTTGGTCTTTAAACAAATTATTTAAATTATCAATGAATTTAATCTTCTTATCATAATTCCAAAAGAATGGATGTTGTGTGATTTGATCGATGGTTGGCCTTGATTTTTCGTCTTTTGAAACCATTTGTTTAATAAGATCGCATAGTATTGGTTGGACAGCAACGAGATGTTCAAAATTTGGTTTATCTGATACAATATTGACCACTCTGAAAATTCTATCACCAAATGGATGTTGACCGTTTGTAATAAAGTAATAGAAAATACAACCTAATGAAAATATATCGACCGATTTTGTTTTTCTCTTTTCCATTAATACTTCAATTGGATGGAAACCTTCTTGACCTGTTGGTACGTTTGATGTAAAGTTAAAGGATGATTCAACTTCTAATTTGCTTAATCCTAAGTCCGATATAATAAATCTTCCATCTTTGATTAAAATGTTTCTTGGGTTTATATCATTATGGACAATACCATTTGAATGTAAAAATCGAATACCATTAACCATATCTGTTATCAGCGCTACAATTCTTTCATTACCATAATTGCTATAATCTATAAATTGCGATAATTCACCGTCATTAATTAAATCTTGTAATGATTTGTCACAGAGTGTTAACCCTAAATAAATATAGTCAGAGTCTTCTTCCTGTTTTATAAAATAAAAAATTCGATAAGTATATAATTAAAATAGCAAGTGAATCATAATAGTGATTCTATTACTTACATGATCGATGTATCTAATAATGTTGGTGTTGTTCTTGTTGGTTAGTTTAATTAATGCTTCAATTTCCTTACTGGTGCTTGGATTAAATATTTTGTTCATTTTTTTAATTGCTACAGGTATTCTATCATTCCATATGCCCTTAAAAACTAATGTACCATTGCTACCCATACCTAAAATATTACTTTGATCTTTGCTAAATTTAAATTTACCAATTTTTTCGCTATATAAGAAATCTTTTGAATCTTCAAAATTGTTTTTCTTGGTTTCTAGGTTTGATGAATCTTTGTTTTGTTCAGCTTTTGCTATGACTATCAATTCATCTTCTTTAATTGGGTCATTTGACAAGTCATGGCATGTATTGTTGGGAAATGTTTCATTTTGTTTATTATTATTAGTGCCTTTATTTTTTTTATTTTTTAATTTATTTTTCAATTTCTTTTTTTCATTCTCTTCATCTTTTAATAGTTCCTTTTCAGCTAGTTTACGATTTTCTTCATCATCTATGTCGACATTGGTATTTGATATTTGATATTTATCTCTATCTTGGTTTGCTATTGGAAATTGCTGCAAAAAGTAATAGTATCCTTCGTATCCCCATGACCCATTTAGTAAACCCAGGTTGTATATTGAATATTCCTGATCAAGAGATGAAATGAATGTTACTATTGTTATGTTGTTAGTTAATCCTTTGCTATAATAAACAACTCTATCAAGTATTGATTTTTTACTGCTTTTAATTTCATTTCTTTGAAGAAATAAGTCGAATATTGGATCGTTGATGGTATCTTTTAGGTCTTGAATATCTCTTATTGTTTGTTTAAAGTATTCTGGATAGTTCTGACCACCAGTAAAGAGGAAATCATTGCTTGCAAAGAATGCCATTGGTATTTTGTTTTTATAGTACACTGGTATATCTTCCCAATATTTGAATAGTGATGACACTCTTAAGTCATTGTTAATTATAAGTTTGGCAACATCAGTTTCACAAAGAAAATCTTTTGATAGTTTAACATAGAGTTTTAAATTTTCAAATAAGACATTACGGAAATCTATATCCAAGTCTGGGTGGTGCATAAACATTTCTTGGACACTAAAATATATTTGAATATTGTTTTGAATATAGTATGAGATTCTACCCATATTTAATAAAATTTCATGGGATTTGAATTTAGTCAGTGATTTGTTTTCACAGTTGTAGTCATCTTGATAAAGGCTTGGGAATAGGGGAGCACCAGTAATTTGATGTTTAAAGAGATCGTTGTCATTTATTTTAGCACCATTACCATTACAATATAACCTGAAAAATAAAAACATTTCTAATGATGATTTTTTTGTGGTTGAGTGGGTGAAGAATGGACTATCTAAAGGAATATTATAGTACTTAAGTATTATGAAGAAATGAATACATGGACTTTGAAGCTCTTTGAAATGGTTACATTGGCAAAAAAAACCTAGATTTAATGAAAACCAAGAGGATATATTTGAACCAGATGAAAATATAATTTGAAATATAAAATTTTTGTCATAAAGTAAATTTATTTGAAATTCTATTACTATAACTTTTTTTAATTCCTTTTCAAGTGATTGGTGGCTATGTTTGTCTAAACCGCTTTTTAGGTTTCTATAGTCTATAGTACTTTTTCCTTGGAGCTCGTTACTATTTGGGCATCTTTGGTATAACAGTGATTTAAAAATTGATTGGTTGCTATAGGTTGAATATTTCTGAAAAAAAGTTGTATTAATGGTGATTCGGTGTTTGTTTAAAAGTTTTAAATAATTTAAAGTTCTATTTATAAATTTTGAATCATTATTTAATTGTTGTTGTGGGAATAATAAATTTACATCTAATATTCTAAATTTATTGTTTTTTAATTTTTTATTTGTTTCTGAAATACCTTCTACATGAGTTCTTTCAGGAATAATGGTTTCCGGTGGATAAATTTTAAAAATTTCAATGGCTACTTCAGCACTTGATGTAATTGATGAAATTTCTAATAAATAAAGCGGATCGATTGATAGTGGGTTGGGTTGACCATTTCTACCCTTTTCGTTTGGATATTCGGTTAATAAATATCTTGTAATATTACCAGCATCGTAATAGCAGATTATAAACCAAAATAAATCTGATGATATTTTCTTTTTTAATTCTAAATTATTATTACTATTATTATTTTTATTACTATTACTATTACTGTATGAATTGGTGAACCATTGGTTATCATCAAAGTATAGTTTGAATAATTCTATATCGTTATTTCTTATAATTGAAACTATACCATAGCAGTTTTGAAATAAATCTGGTTCTCTTTCATTTTTTTGCTCTTGAAGAATATTACCGCCTAGATTTGTTATTTTTTTTTTAAAATTTTTATTATTTTTTTCGTTGAGTAAAAGTTTTAATACTTGTATACTATATTCTTTTGATGATCCAATGTTATAGTTGCTACAGGAAAACAATAAATTTAACCGTTCAAATCCAAAATATTCACTAAATACTTTTAAAAACTTTAAAAACTGAACCAGCTTTAATTCAAAAATTTGAGAATAAAACGTTCTTGTTGAGGTATAAATTTCATCATCTGCGCTAAATGAATCGTCTTTTAAATAGTTTATTAATTTTGGTATTTCCTCATTTATTAGTTTATTGCTAATTTTAAAAAGTGAAAATAATTAGTATTTATTAAAATAAAGAGTAATAGGTAAGTATATATTTACCTTTGTTTATAATAATTTTTAAAATTATCTAGGGTTGGGTTTTCTTCATTTAATTGGCCACATAAATCTATGAATAAATTGACATAGAAATGATTTTCGTTTAAAAAATTATTACTACACTTATTATATACAACGTCGAAATTATAATTGTATTTTTTCAGGATATTAATAGAATTAATATAATTTTGTTTTCGTTTTTGCATTTTTCTTGAGGTTTAGTAACCTCTAAAAAAATGAATATAGTATAAAAAATAATAAATTAAAAAGCAATATACATATATAAATATATAAACAAATTTTATTTCATTGTATCAAGGGTAAAAAAAAAAAAAAAAAGTTAATAAAATAAAAAAATTTAAAAAAAAAAATTAAAAAAAAAAAAAATTAAAAAAAAAAAAAAAAAAAAAAAAAAAAAAAAAAATTTCTTTATATGGATAGTCCCTTATGTATCGGAAAATCAAAAAAGTTTCCTTTATTGAAGTCTATTGAATTGCTAAAAAATTTTAAATTTTGATTGTGAATTATTTCTTTTAAATTTGTTATATAGTTATTTTCCTAAAAAAATTCTACTACATTGCAACAATATCTACTGAATTTAGTGTAAAATTTACAATATCTTTAAAACTATATTGTGGGTTGAGGCTACTTGGATTGGTTCACTGAGATACTTTTTTAATTCATCTATCACAAAATTTAATTTTTTTAAAAAATTTAATTTCTCATTCGAACCAATTTGATCTTACTTAGAGACTTTGGCGAGTTTGTTATTGTTAATCATTAGTTTCAATGATTGTAGGTCTTATATAGTCATTTTCAACCCTATCTCTTTTATTAATGATAAAACAATATTTCAATGTTACCAATTTTAATATATAAAAAAATAAATTAAATAAAAAAAATAAAAATAATAAAAAAAAAAATATTTTAAATTGAGGTTTTTTTTTATATTTATTAAAAGAAATGGTTATTATATTTTGAGGTTTTTTTTTTTTTATTATGAAAAATATTTACTAAAAATAGATTAAAAATAGTATATATCATTGTTTGAAAATTAATATTAAAAAAATAGAAATAAAAATAAAACACCCCTTCACCACATCAATTTAATAACAAAAAAACTTTTTTTAATTATATTTTTTTTTTTTTACACCCACTTAAACACACAAACAAAAAATAATATTTAATTTAAAATAATAAATAGTAAATGTAATAATTTTTTTTTTTTTTTTTTTTTTTTAATTTAAAAAAAAATTAAAAATTTAAATTATAATAATAATAATAATATTAATAATTGTAATCATACAATTTATTAAACAATAGAAATATTAAAAAATGGTAACAGATAATAGTAATAGAAGTAAAAATAAAAGTAAAAAAATGGCAACAGATAAAACAAATAATAGTAATAATAGTAAAGATAATTCTATTGCAAGTATTACAATTAAGGAAATGGTGAATAAAATTAAAATTTTAAATCAAAATAATAATAAAAATAGGGATAGTAGTGAATTATCTATTTTTAATTTTTTTAAAATTTATAGTTTATTATTTGAATACAGAATAGTATTTATAAATATATTTAAATTTAGATGGAGTGAAGAGACATTATCAAAATGGCAATCAAATGATAAATTTGGTTCACTCTTAATAAATAATATTCAAAATGAAGAAATCTATAAAAGTTTTAAGGAAGATCAGAAAAAGCAAATAAAAAGTGGTCGTTTAGAAGAATGGGATTTAGAATTAATTGCAACAATTTTAAAAATATATAATTATAAGAAAATGGATAGGGCCGAAATGGAAGCTCAAAATAAAAAAATATTAACAATAAAACTCTATTATTTAAAAGGTATTTATATCATAGTTATAATAATGTTCTTTTTTGCAATGCATACAATTATTAACTCATTTTTTAATATTTATAAATTATTAGTGTTAAAACTTAGAGAATTAAAACATTTTTATTTAGATGAAGGTGAAACCAGTAAAATCATGTCAATCATTAACGATTCATTCTCACTTATAGATATCTCAGCCATTGGTGATAATATAGTGGGCATATTGGATTTTTATGAGAGCGTTGTAAAAGATGATAACTATAATGAAGAAGAATTCCCTGGTTACCAAAATACAAAGAGTCAGATTAAAACTTTGGACAAATACTGTAAAGATATGAATAAAACTATTTTAGACATTGTTAATGTCGGCGAAGAAGAAAAACTGGATTCTTTCAAGATGGGAATCAAATTTGGTATAGATAACTTTACTAAAGATTATACATCTTCAACCATCAAAGCTAAAATGCATTGTATCAAAAGTTCTATGAATATGGCAATATTTAAGTACTACACATTCAAAGATGATATGAATCATATTCAAAAAAACAAGAGCTTAATAATGGAAGCTAGGGAAGATGCTATTGATGCCATTGTTTCAAAGTTTGTTTACTATGAAGGTTATTATAGGTTAGGAGAAACATATAAAGTTGTTGGTGATTATCACATGGCCATAAAGTTATACGAAATTGCCATTGGACTCGACCCATCTCAAGATTGTTTATATACTGCAAGGGAAATAGCTTTGAAAAGATTATCAGAGAGAGTATACGACCCATTAACAGGAGAAAGAGATTTTCATCAAGAGGCACTAAATTTTGTTAAAGAACACGATTTCATAAATACTGGGTTTGTGGATGGCGCATCGTACGATAAAATTGAATTAAATAACGAACCATTCAAAACTATATATCGTAAAGCATTAAGGGAAAACAAAATATATGGATGTAAAGATAAATATCTTATAGAAGGTGTTGCTTATCAATGTGATGCCCTCCACTCAATAGCAAATAAAAACGAATATCAAGCATACAAATCTTTTTGCAAAGCAGCCACCTATAATCTAAGTTTTAGTTATCTTTTCCTTTCAGAGTTTCATAGAGCTTACAGTTCCGTAAAATGTGATGAAGTTCCCAAGGACCCATTCAAAGAATTGGTTTTACTCTTTCAATCTTCACTAGCATTGCCAACACCCAAACTTAGAGTACCCAGTAATCCAAATTTAGAAGAACAGTTTGACTCAAACCTACCAACAAACTATTGTAAGGTTGCCTCAAAGTTTTTTTATGGTATTAACGGACTTGATATGGATTTAGATAGAAGTTTATACTATTTCGATAAATCAATTGATAATCTAGAATTAAATGGAACATTAAAGTTTGCAATTTTCCTCATGAAATTCTTTGAAGATCCATTTTTCAAATGTGAGAAAGATGAAATGTTTGCACATGTTATGTTAAAATCTCTAGCTAGTAAGAGTTCAGAAAAAGGAAGATTAGTATACTCTTATTTAGATGGATTAAAAAAAAATAGAGTGGAAATTTTAGATTACATACATAATGATGGTGTAAAAAACAATAAAGCAGCTTTTATTCATACACATTTCAATTATAATAATAAATAATAAATAAATAAATAAATAATTTTTTTTTAATTATTGTACAGATGTTTTATTAAATTAGTTTATAATACAACTTTTATCTTTTGGTTCCTTTTTTAAAATTATTGGTTTTGATGGTGACACTGTTGAGATATATCCTTTATAATATAAAATATTTTGAACTATATTTAAAAATAATTTTTCTACATTTATATTATATTTAGCTGAGGTCTCTATATATGGAGCACCAAGGCTATCCGCTAATTCTTTAATAACTTCGTTGGAAACTACTTGATCATTTTTTTTTAGATCGACTAAATCTATTTTATTTCCCACTATTATTACAGGAGTACCTTCTGATGCATATCTTTCGCCTTCACAATACCATCTTTTAACATTGTCAAATGAATTGAAATCGGTGAGATCAAATACTATTACTATTCCTTGAACTCCTCTATAAGGTGAATGACAAATCATACGAAATCTTTCTTGACCCTATAAAAAATCAAATCTATTTAATATATAATAATTTTTTTTGTTTTTTATTGTTCTAGTGTTTTAAAACATACTGCTGTATCGCAAACATTAAGTTTAATTTTTTTATCTTCTAAAATTATTGTTTTTTCTTTTTGATCTTGTGTGTATGTAATAGGAAATTCATCACTATATATATCTTCGAAATACCTAGAGAGTATACTTGTTTTCCCACTACCACTATCACCTATATATTAATATTAATAACAAGATATTAGTTATTAGTTTTTTTATTTAAAATATGATTACTTACCACTAAGAATTATTTTTAGGGAATGGTCATAGTTATTTTCAATTTTACTTACACTATACATTTAATTCATTTATTATTTGAATGTGGAGTTTTATTTTTAAAATAAATATCAAAAAAAAAAAAAATTTTAATTAATTTTCAAAAAATTTTCTTAAAAATTGATAAATTAAAATAATTGTTTGTGTTTGTGTTTGTGTTTGTGTTTGGGTATGTGTTTGTGAATATGTTATAGCCCACAATTTATCTAAACTTGGAACAAACTATATTTATTTTGTAATTATTTCAATGAATAATTTAATTTTTTCATTTATTTATTATCAAATTTTATTAGGAAATCATTACGCCAATACGAAATATCAAAAAAAATTAAAAAAAAAAATAAATTTTATTTTTTTTTTTTTATTTTTTTTTTTTTGTTGTTTTTTTTAAAATTATTTTCATTTTTCATTTTTCATACCCATTTAAAATAACAATAATAATATAAAATGATTAGAGGTAGAAATTTAAATACTTTTAATTCATTGTTATTAAATGGATTAAAAAATAATTTTAAATATAATAATAATAAAATAATAAAATCACAAACATTTTTAAATAATGAAATCATTAACAGATCATTTTCAACCAACACCACAACCACTAAAAACACAAATACCAATTTAAAACCAGGAGAATCTGAAGAATCAATGATGGCAGAAGTATTGCTTTCAAAAAAAAAAAATGCATCATATGAATCATTATTTTCCAAAAGACTTCAAGATAGATCAATTAGACCAGAAGAATCATTGAAAATCATTGAAAGTTTTCTTGAACAACCAGAAAATAGTAATCAAAATCCATTCAATTTAATCTTTTTAGACAATACCTTATATAAAACATTACAACAATTTCCATTAAAAGTTATGGATTATTTTAGAAATGATAAACCATTTAATAAAAAGAAATTAAGACAAAGTATATATATAATATTATTAATTAAAAATATAAATATATTATCAATTTTACTCATCATTTTTTTTTAAAATTATAATAAATAATAATAATAATAATAATATTTAAATAGTTTTAAAGGAAAATTTTATTAAACTTTTATCAGCAATTCAAAATAATGATATCGATACTATAAATTCATACAAATATGATGATTCACATTTTATTATGGAGACTGTTAGAGATTTATTCTACACATTCAAAAAACATTCAAAAATTGATTTTTCAAATACTACTTATTTATCAATTGACCCAATTATATATAAATTAAAAAATGTTGGATCAGATTTTGATGCTATTGTAGCCTATTATTTAGAAATATCGGTACCACAAATAGACGGTTCAACAAAGAACGAAAAGTATGTTGCATATGTCCTTTGGAGAGGCACTTTTGAAGAGGTCTCTGAACAAGAAAAAGATATCTTAAAAGATCCTTCAAAAATCAATTTCGAAACAAAATTATCTTGGAAAGTTGGTAAGTTATATGTTCCTTTAGCCATTAACGAAATCAATGATCAACGTTACAAAGAAGTTATTACTGATTTATTAAAAGAACTTAATTCAAAAAAAGTTAAATAATAAAGATATTTAAATAAAAAAAAATAAAAAATAAATAAAATAAATAATTAGATAAACAAAAAAGATAACAAACCATCATTTTTTCCTTTTTTATTTTATTTATTTTTTTTTTTTTTTTTATTTTTATTTTTTTTTATTTTTTATTTTTTTTATAATAATTTTAATTTAAAAATAAAAAAAATTTAAATTAAAAAAAAAAAAATTAAAAAAATCATTTATTTTTTTTTTTTTAATTTTTTTTAAAATTATTTATTATTTTATATATTTAAATAATTATATTTAATTTTTTAATATTAAAGATAAATACAATTCGACCACTCACCTTGAGTGTCGATATGTTTAAATGTTCGAAGTAATAATATAAATTAATATAAATGTTTTTTTTTTTTTTATATATTATATAAATAATAATAAAAATGAAGAAAACAGATAATAACCTATCTGAACAAAACAATAATGCAAATATCACCAATAATAGCAACAACAACAACAGAAACAGCAACAGCAACAGCAACAACATGAATAATAGTATAATATTTAGTGGTATTCAAATAGAAATAAATAATAATTATAATAATTATAGTAATAATAATAATAATAACAATAATAATAATAATATAAATAATAATTTAAGTTCAAGTACAAATAATATGAATGCTAATAATTTAAGTAGTAGTTGTATGAGTAGTGGCAGTAATAGTAGTACAAATATTAATAATAGTGGAATGAGTAGAAATAATAGTAGCAATAATTTATCACAAAGCGAAAGTATTCCATTAAGACCATCTTTAGAATGGGTATTGTTATATTCGGACTCAAAAGTTTCATCGGAATCGAGAACACCAATAAACGATTTTATAAAAAATAATTATAATTCAAATAATAACGATAATAATAATAATAATAATAATAATAATAATAATAATAATAATAATAATAATAATAATAATAATGAAAATGAACCAAATAATAACAATACACTATCAAACTCAACACCAATAACAAATAGTGCAACATCTTCCCCATATTTTAGAAGGAATAATAATAGTAACAATAGTTTACAATCTTCAACATATTTAGAAAATACAAATAGTAATAGTCCAAACCCAACCAATAGTCCATTACTCAGAAACGATAATAGTTCACCTTCAGAAAATAATAATAATAATAATAGCAATAATGTTAATAATAGCACGGTCACAACAACTACTAATACTTCAACTATCCATATAACAACAACAAATGGAGAGTTTATGAATAGCATTGTATTTGATAATGGTATAAATAATAGTAGTAATATTTTTGGATTATTATCAGAAAAAAATTGTAATCACCAATTCCCATCAGAGGATTTTTTATTGCCTCACGAGCATGAAATAATGGATTTGGCACTAAATAAAGAATTTTTAAATCAATATCGTATTCAAACCAATAGTATTTTCATAAACTCACAACCAAATTTAAATCAAGATGTCCCATGTTATCAAGATTATGAAAGTTTATTTTTACATTACAATAATATTTTATCACAACTAGCACAGGTAGCAAAAAGCAATACAAATATTGGGATTAATAACGCACCACCTTCGATAACCTCAAATAATACACCCGACCATGTACAATATCAAACTTTTTTACCAGAAATTAACTTTTTAATAGAGAAATTGACTATGTTCTATCGAAAAATAGATACTGAAATTTTTAATAGATTGGGAAACAATGTCAAATTAATTTTCGATCATTTAAATATTATTAGAAAAGAAATTTCTGAAGGTATTTCAAATTTAAAGTAAGCATATGTTTATTTTTTCATATATTTTTTTTGTATAACATTATACTAATTTTTATTTTACAGTGGTATTTTTACAATTTATAACCATACATTAATTAGTAGTGATAAAAGTACAAAACAATTTGTTTTTAGGTTTTTGCATTCATTAGCCCCAATGCAAGCTCCACCTGCAATAGTGGTAACTCCCGAGCTTAAAAAAGTAGTTTGGAAAATTCATTTTTCTAAACCAGTTTTCACAGCACTTTGCATCGAATGGAAAGGTTCATTTACTTTTACAAAAAGTTTTTATGGTAATTATAAATTAATTTAATTCAAAAAAAAAAAAAAAAAAAATTAATATTAATATTTTTTTTTAAAAAGATATTTACAAGTATGTCGATGTTTTAAAATCAGTTTCGTTATTTATAGTCAATCAATACTTTTTTTTAAATCAATCAATTATAGTAAATGATGAATCAATGTTTGTACCATCATTTTATAATCTTTTTGATAGCATTCAAAATCTATCAATGAGAGAAGAAAGATTCTATATCGAATATATTTTACACAATTTAAAATTCATCACCTCCAAAATTCCAAAACAAACAAGAGATTACACGAAACAGGAACTTGAAAGACTATCTTCTTATATTAAACAAAATCCTTCATATGTTAAAGATATTATACCAAGATTATTAAAGAATTTATATGCAGACCCTTACTTTTATCACCTATGGAACAATAAGTAAGTTTTATATGCTTTAATAAATTCTTTAAACATTTACTAATTTTTTTTTTTCAGTTGTATTCATTTATTAAATAATAGTAAACAGGATAATGTAAATTTCAAAGATATTGGTATTGATTTAACCCTACTTTTAAATAGTAATAAAAATTCATTCCTTTTATCATTTGACGAAAAATACTTTTCAATTTTTTATAATATTAATACTAATAATAATAGTAACAATAATAATAACAATAACAATAACAATAGCAACAATAACAATAATGTTTTAAACAAAAGCAATACAATAGTCAACAACAATAATAATAAGTATATGTTAAATTATTTTGACAATACAACATCACTATTAAATTTTATAGAAATCAAATCAAATTTAAATATATTATATTATCAAATAAAGATGTAGAAACAATAAAATACTTTAAATCAGTTTTACCAGTTCAACTACCATTACCACAAACTAGACAACAACAAAACTATAAACCAAGAATTTTATGTGGCTCGTGCTTATCAAGATTTAAAACAATTTTAGATGAATTTGATCAAGAGGAATCTTTAGAATCACAAATGTATAAAAATTTCTTTTTAACAAAACAAAAGAAACAGGAAAAGGATGAAAATGAAGAGGATGAGGAATTAAATCAAGATGATGATACAGATGAAGAAGATTTAAAAAATGAACTATTAAATATAGAAAAAGAAATCAATGATTTAGAAAAAGAAGAAAAAGAGTTAATTCAAGAGTATTTGGAATTAGAAAATCAAAACCAGATAAATTTAGATATTAAAATCAAGCTTGAAGATATTTTAAAAGAAATTAAACAAGAAGAGAAAACCCATTATGACTCAGTAAATAATTATTATCAAGAATACTATGATTTAAAGCAAGAGGACGAAATATGGGATAATTATATTTCTTCAATAAAAGACCAAATCGAAAGAGTAACCCAAATAGATATCAAAAAAGCATTCTTTAAAATCGCCGGTTCCGAAGATAGTAATGGTATAGCCTCAATAAATGGTTTTAGACTTGGTACATTACAAAATTTAAAAGTAGATTGGGATGAAATTAACAGTGCATGGGGTGAAACTTCCCTACTATTACATGTTTTGGCGACTCAATTAGAATATAATTTTTTAAAGTAAGTTTTTAAATATACAAGTTTTTTTTATAATTATGTGTTTCTAATCTTTTATATTAAAAAAACTTTAGTTTTAAATTAATACCAATGGGAAATAAATCAATTATTCAATCTAAAAACGATAAGGTATCATATTCACTATATGGTGGTGATAATATTCAGTTTTCAAGATCATTTCTTTGGTTTGGTGCCAGCGACCAAAGATTCGATAATGGTATGGAAGCATTTTTATCATGTGTAAATGAAATATCATCATTTGTGTTAACAAAAAAGAACATCAACTTTAACTATCGAATAAATAAAGATAAAATTGGTGATTCAAATAGATTCTACTCAATTAAAATTGCAAGTAATTCAGAAGCTCATTGGACCTCTGCTTTAAAGTTTATGTTATCCACCTTAAAAAAGATTTTAGACAATTTAGATTCAATAATCGAAACAATTCAACAAAACAAACTATCAAGATCAGAATCCTATTCAAACTTAGCTTCATTACAAACTTTAAAATAACTAATTGGTAATAATAATAATTATAATTTAAACAATAATATTAAATTTTATAAATAAAACTGTATATTTTTTAAATTTTGTATATTATAAAATGATTAAAAGGTTTTTATTAAATTATTTTGTTGTGAAATAGTCTGTTATAATTTCTTGTTGTCTTATAACAAGACCAGCTATTTTACTTTGATTGAGAACAACTAAATCCTTGATCTATTTTAATAAATATTTAAATGATAATTAGTATAAAGTATATTATAAATATTTTATAATTTTATTGAGAAACCTACTCTTGTTCTATTAAAATCAATATTTTCGGGTTCTTTTACTTTACTGTTCCACAGTTTAAATATTGGCTCAAGGGTTTTAAAATGCCTTTTAATTTCGGTTATATCATCAACACAGATTGTTACCAATTGAATAACATTAACCATAACTCTTAAATTGATAGTTTCATTTTTAATTCTATAAACATATGGCTCAATTAGTTTAATTAAAGTTGAACAAATGTCTTTGGTTTCAAAAATTTCATCCAATAATTCTATTTTTGCTTGAGGTGGTGAGTTTCCTGAAATAGTCTCTTTGGATTTTGGCGAGTTATCTTCTTTTGGTATTTCTTTATTTTCTTCAATTGGTTTGTTTTCTTCAGTTTTAATTTTCTTTGTTGGTTTCTTTTTCTTTTTTGCTTTTTCTTTTGCTAGCGAAGATAACATATTTGAAATACAGTAAAGAGAGAATCTTTCACGTACTTTAAATTCAGTTTCTGTTGGAAAAACTTCAGTAATTTTGGTAAATGTTTGGAATCTATCGTTATCTTCTGGAACAATAGAAATAATTTCGTCAAATAATTGATTCATAATAGTTGGTATATTGTCTGTATCATTATTTATATTATTAATACTATTATTATTATTACTATTATTATTATTACTATTATTATTTCTGTGAAAATCTGGGTTAAAATATAAATTGATCAATTTTGAAAGATTTAATTTTAATAATCTAATTGAATTAAAAATACCAGAATCTTTAACAACTTGATTAAAACTATCTTGCTTTGGTTTTACTGCCTCTGTTTCACTTTTTTTTTGCTTCTTACCAACCTGTTTTTCTAAATTCATTTGATTGTGTGGCATTTTGAATTGGAAAAATGGGTCCAATGATAAAAATATTAAAAACTTAATAAGCTCTTTGACCTGTTCAGTATTAAATTTTCTATAAAAAAAGTTAAACAATATTAATATAGCTTTCGATTGAATAGAATAATAAAATAGTTATAAACCTACTTTTTTTCTATTGAATAGTTTAGCATTACCAATACTTTATATAAATTCATAAATGGGAATATTCTATTAACTAAAAAAATAAAAAAATAAACTATTAATATTAATTATTAAAAATAAACTATTTCTTTATAATTACCACAAGTTTTTTTTGAATAAAAATCTGTAACTTTTTTAACATTTTTAAGGGACTCAAGATTAATATCGATTGAATAACTGTTGAAAGTATTGAAAAAATTTTCGAATGAAAATAACTTGTCAAAAATATTATTATTGATGTCGCTTATGGGTTTCTTTTCAATGTCCATTAATATGTCATATGATTGTGAAACAATTAAATCATTTTTATTAAAACAAACTGTTGTTTAAAAGGAAAAAGAAATTATAATAAGTGAAACTATACTTTATAATAAATATTAAAACTATTAAGCTACATACCTTGTGAGTATAAATAAGTTATTAAAATATCCGGTATTGATTCTCTTTTTGAAATTTTAACCAATGTTCCCAAACTATTTAAAATTGACAATTCATTTGAATCTTGATTTTTTAATAATTTCAAAATTGGGTATTTTGAAGTATCGCTATCTTTAATATTTAACTCCATTACCGATGGCACTTTATTTTTTTCAACAAAAATATATTGACGATTGGAACCTGCAAGAAATAGATCATTTGCAATAAATAGCTATAAAAAATAATTAAAACAAATTCATTAATTATAAAACATAATACAACGATTTATAATGGCTAACTAATATTTACATCTTGTAATTGTTTGGTTTCTTTATCATTAAATTCAATTTCGTTACCTATAATAGATTTAACGTCAATTGTTTCATCTTCTGCTATAGCTACTTTCATCTTGCTCTTGTCGAATAAAATTGTATCTGTGTCAATATTTTCAAGAAATTTTCCTGTTTTCTTTCTTTCATTTAATAAATCGTCCAATGAAATATTTGAATATTTAGATTCTTTTTTCCCACTAGTTTTAGGGGCGGTATTACTACTACCGCCACTAGTTTTAGGGGCGGTACTACTACTACTAATACTACTATCAATACTGAAAAGATTTGGATCGAATTTTTTTGCTGATCTCCCACTTCTAGTTGTATAAGTTGGTAAATCATCATTACTAAAACCATATTTTGATGATGGTGATGATGATGATGATGATTTTTTTTTTCTTGAACTATTGTTATCAATATCAGGTTGATTTGATGACTTATTATGGTCGGAATCACCAAAGAAATTATTTTCATCAGAATCCTCTCTTTTTCTTTTTGGGATCGATGGAATATTTGATGCAGTTGTTGATAATAATGATGATCCTGATTTAGTTGATGGACTTTCAATACTAGCTGGGTTCTTTTTGGGAATTCCAAAACTTAAATATGAATTTGAAAATGTTGATGAACCACTTGAAGATTTATTCTTTAAGTCCTCTTCTTTTTTTGATAAAATTGAAGAACCCAATAAAGAAGATTGTTTAAGATTTGACTGTGGTATAGCTGAGGCTGCTTTTTTACCTGGAGCTTTTTTTTTTTTTTCGAAAAGTTTACCAAACGGATTATCCATTTCGTTATTGCACTATATAAAGATATTTTTCACAAAAACAAATTATAATTATTTTTTTAAAAAATGAAAAAAAAATTTTAAAAAAAATTAAAAAAAATATTTTTTTTTTTTGGGGGGAATTTATTTTTATTTATAAATAATTATTTTTAGTATACTTTTGTTCAATTTAAATATATTAAATATATTTAATATTAAAAAAAAAGAAATTAATTCAATATTATAATAAAAGTAAAATAATAATAAATATTTGGGAAGATATTTTTTTTTAATTTAAATTGTTTATAATTGGGATATTTATGTGTGTTAATTTTTTTTTTAGTCAAGTTGATATTATACAATTCGTGTGTGGTGCCAAATACCTTCTATTAATATTATTGAACCAAGTGTTGTTACTTGTAGTCGGCTCTTTCCACCATTGTTCTGCGGAACAACGAAATCATAGGGAAGATTAAAATCTCCTGGAAGAGTATCCCACCAAAAAAGGCCCCAGCGGGGATCGAACCCACGACCTCTTCCTTACTAGGGAAGCGCAATACCACTATGCTATGCGGCCAATTTGTTGAAATTTTAAAAAACCACCATTTTCGGGTTTTCAGTTAAAAAAGTTGATATATATTTAAAATTCATTAATTTGGAAATTAATTATTGGAGTTTTATTACAAATATAAAAGATGAGTTTTTTGTTATTTTTGATAATATTTTATTATTTAAAAATTAATTTTTAACGTTATTTTAAAGTTAAAAAATTAAAAAAAATTAATAAAATTGAATTGCAAATAAAAATTTATTCTTGAATATAAAAGCCATCAAGACGCCCTCTACCAATAACTTTAGATTTCATTGAAGAAATTAATTGATCTTTAGTGAATTTTTCTTGATTTATGCCTGATGGCTCAGATAAAGCATAAATTTCAAAAATGTATCTATGCTTACCATGACCATTCAAAGGACGTGGACCAATATAACCATGAATATTTCTAAAATTACAAACTCCAATAAACATGTCTTCTATTTTTCCTGAGGATTTTTCACCAACATTTAAAGCACCCTCTGGTATCTCCTTAATACTTGGTTTAATACCAACAGCCGATGCCTAAAAATTAAAAATAAAAAATTAATTATTAAAACTTTTAAAAAAAAAAACATATAAAACATACATGAAGAATTGGTACCCAAACTGGAGCATCTACATCTTCACATGCAAGTATAATTTCTTTTGTTCCCTCTGGTAAATCTGACCATGAAAGGTGTGGGGAAATATCATCCCCAACTCCCAAACCTGCACATTTTTGAGGCATAAATCCATCATGTTCAAAGTTATTACTCTTTAAAGAAATTGTTTTTTCGTTTTCATTTGGTGGAACTAAATTAAAAATACATTTTTCTTCACCAGCATGTACATTATATAATAAATATTTACCAAATAATCTGGCTATCATTTTTAATTATTTTTATTCCAATTAACTATAAAAAAAAATAAAAAAAAAAAAAACTTTTTGGAAATAAAAAATAAAAAAAATAAAAAAATAAAAAAAATAAAAAAATTATTGAATAAATCCTAATTTTTTTAAAAAAATTTCATCACCTGCCAAAAAATTTAAAATATATAACCTTGGGTATAAAGGTCTGAATCTTAGATTTCATAAAAACTATGAAATCATAAATGATTATATAATTTTAAAAAAAAAAATTACTTTTTTGATCAAATAAGTTATATTAAAAAAATTATATTTTTTAATAAACCGTGCTCCGTAACTTATAACTAATCAAAAAAAAAAATTTTAAAATTTAAAATTTAATATATTTTATATAAATTGAAATTACAATAAAATTAATATTATTAATAATTAGTTTTATTTTATTTATAGATTTTATTAATTTTTTTTTTTAAATTAATTTAAATTTATTTTATTTTTTTTGAAAAATATTTTTTTAATTTTTATTTAATTTTTTTAAATTTTTCATTTTTTAATTTTATATATCATATTTTATATATTAAAAGAAATACTCATAAAAACAAATAAGAATAATTATTATGTCCAATAATTTAAACGTTGATAGCTTATATTTTGAAAGACAAAGAAAAAAACTATGTGGTCTACATGTAATTAATAATTTTGTAAGTAACTTTTTGGTAATAATAAAAAATAATAATATGATTATATTGACACATGTCCTTATATTTTTATTTTCATATTAATAATAAAGTTTCAACAAGAAAAATATAATCAAAGGAAATTAGACGAGATAGCGTATGAAATTGATATTTCAAATAGATTAATCAATCCCCATAAAAGTTTTTTGTAAACTATCTTTTTTTATTCACAATAATATTATACATTAATACTAATATTTATTATCGTATAGTGGATTAGGTAACTATGATGCAAATGTACTAGTTCATGTATTTATAAATAACGATTATGAAATTCAATGGTTTGACAAAAGAAATGCATTAGAAGAGATCGACTTTAATATGCTGGGTGGGATTTTAATCAATACTGTTACATTTAGGATATTTGGTCTATATGAATCTAGACACTGGACTATAATTAAAAATATGGATAATGAAAGCTCAATAACAGAATCAACCTCATCAACAATAAATGACCCAAATAATTTAAACTATGTCCTATTTGACTCTTCAAATTCAAAACCAATTAAAATTTCAGAAAAATCAAAACTTATAAACTATTTAAAATATCTTCAAAAAAATAGTAAAGCTGAATTAATTTTAATTTATAAAAACCCAATTCATAGCAATAATGAAAAAGAAAATGAAAAAGAAAACAATAATAATATTAAATAAATAAACAAATAAATAAATAAATAAATAAATAAATAAATAAATAATAAAAACAAAAAGAGACAACTAATATTGTCTTTTTTTATTTTTAGTGTATAATATAATATAATTTTAAAAGTAATAATATATACTATTATAACTTTTGTTCTTTATTATTTTTGTTCTAACTAATCTTTTTTTTTTTTTTTTTTTTTTTTTTATAATTAACTTTAATAATAAAGATAATTTTATTTATTTATTAATATTATTTTTATTTATAAATAGTATTAATTAATATTTGTTATATTTAAATATGATATCATATTTAAGAAGCTATTGAGCCTGATGGTTTACAAATTGAATCAAAAGAAAGATTTCTATATTTTACAAAATCAATACTTTCAGTAACAACCAATAAGATAGTGGAAACTGAAATAACGGCACCAATAAGGAAAACGATGTATGATCTTCTTTGGTATTTCTTAACGATCCAGATTAAAGTTTGGGTACCAACAAAACATGAAATGAAACCAATTGCATAATAAACAATACCGTAATCCCATCTTAATTTACCAACTAAAATATATTGAATAGCTGATGATGCTGAGGTGAATAACTGGATAAAAAGATTGAAAAAATTAGTATATTAATTAATATATGTATTCATAAATAAAATAATAATTAATCCTTACAATCATATAACTTGAAGTAGCAGCAGTAACATCTGGACTTAAACCCTTTTTTAAAAAAAAAAACAAAATTAATACATTTACCTACTTTGTATTTATAATATTAATAAAATTCTTACCATTTGTAATAAGACTGGACCCTTGATCATACCACCACCAATACCTAATAATGAAGCTAAAATACCTGCAACAATTGAAAGGATACCTAAAACAATAATATTTTTATGAGTATATTTAATTTCACCTTCAATTTCTCTACCCTCATCACGTCTAATTTCATATTCTCTATAAAGGTATCTAGCAGTGAAACCCCATAAAATAATAATAACTGGTACCATAACAAATGATAATACCCAATAAAGTGGCGAGCATAACTTGACACCAATTAAACTGTATTCTTCATCACCACCTTTGAAAATTGAAAACATTGTTGAAAAGATTAAAACTATTAATAAAATTGAAACTTTACCCCATTCAGCGTCATAAAATGCTAATTTTATAAAAAATAAAAAAGATATTAGTATAAAAATAATTATTGGTATTGATGGTATAAAAAATAATACATACGATTATATTTAACATTTGAATTTGCACCATCACCATTTGGATTGCTACTACCGCTACCATTACTATCATTGATTTTATGATGATCATTATTTAATAAAGAGACTTTAGCTTTAATTTCTTTTCTATAAATTTCTACACCTTTAGTAATTGTTTTAAAAGAGGTGAAACCAAGAGTGATAACCAATAACAAAAGAATAACTAATGGTGGGAAATAGGTATGTAAATAAACACCAAAGATAGTACCTGCCAAAGTTAATGGTTCAATTAAAAGAGCAACACTAAAATCTATAAGATGTTTGTTTGAAAAAGGATGTCTTCTTGGGAAATTTTGAATAAAGTTAGCTAAAGAACAACCAGCAACCAAACAATTTGATAATGGAATTGATGATTTTGGATCCCATTTACTGACTAAAATTAAAATTGGAATATAAATACCGCCACCACCTACACCACCTCCACTAGATAAAGCACAACCAATGAATAAAAGGACCATACCAAGAATATCTAAGAATGTAACTTCGCTGTGGAACAATGATTTATGTGTACATTGACCTTGTTGACAAACCCATTGATCATTTAATGAAAAACATTCTGAATCAGTTAAACAGGTGGTACAAGTATGGTTACGACAAACTTGACCAATTTGGCATCTATCTCCACAATCTGACAATGGTTCATTATCAATACTGGATGATGAATTTGCATGCTCTTGATTATAATTACCAATCATAATATTATTACCGCCATTATTGAATATTTGATTTTCTCTGTTGTGTTGATCTTGTAATTGTTGATTAACCAATGTCTCATCCTCTATAAAAATTGATGATGAAAATGTTGCTGATTTTAAATTTTGTTCAAATGAACTACAAAAATTTATTAAAACGAATAATATTAAAAATATTTTAAATATTATTCGATAATTTATCATTTTATATATATATATATATTATATTATATTATTATTATATTATTATTATAATATTATTATTTTTGTTACAATTCTACTATTATTATTGTTATTGATTTATACTATTAATTAATTTAAATTGTATATTTTAGATATTACTACTATTAACTTGTAAAAAAAAAAAGTTGATAGTTTAACCTAGAAATTAATAAATTTATATTAATAAAATATACTTTTGTTTTTTTTTTTTAAAATTTGTTTTAAAACTTTTATTTATATATTTTAAAAAAATAATTAAAAATTAAAAAAAATAAAATAATCTTTTAAAACAATAAAATAATTTTACACTATATAAATAATAATAACATCTATTTCATTTTAAAACAAATCATATACTTTTAAATTAAAAAAGAAAAATTTTTAATTAAATGTATAGATAAAATAGTAATTATAATATATTAAAAATTAAAAACTATCAAAGTTAAGTGTATAATTATCCCAAGTGTTGTTGTGTTTATATGTGGTGTGTGAGACAAAGGTGGAAATGGTGAGAAAGAGGAAAAGTGTATTATATGTGTGTGTGTATGTGTGTATGTAAAGAAGATTATAGTGTTGTTGCAACAAAACGTAAATTTAAATTTAAATTTTAATATGAATGGAAAATATAATATAAAATTATATAATTGTTTATACACTTTTATTACTATTTATATATTATTTTATTTTAAACTTTACTATAAAACAAATATCTATTAATCGGATAGAATGTAAACTAATTGATAATAATTATAATTGTATTTAATCCATAAATTAAAGTATTCTCTTTAAAATTTTCTATTGTGTGTCTAATGAATTATTATTTTATATATTTATTTTAAATTAATAATTATGATTTAAAAAAATAAAAATAAAAATAAAAATTAAAATAAATCTATTTTTTTTTTTTTATTATACAACCTAATATTAATTTTTTTATGAAAAAAACTTAATATGAATTTTTATTTGGGTGTGTATGTTGTGTGTGTGAATGTGGTTGTTTATAGTCCGATTGTAAATATTTTTTTTTTTTTTTTTTTTTTTTTAAAAATAATTAAATTGTTTTGATTGTGTGTGTGTGTGAATAGGTGGGTAGGGTAAGAAAATTTTATATAAATATTTGAAAGATTATTAATTTACTGTATATAAATTTGATACGAGTGTTATTATATAATAGAAATAAATAAAAAATAAAAATAGTGAAAAATGGTGGATTGGTGAATTGGTGGGTTTTTGTTATATTAGATGATTTAAAATGATCTTTTGTCTAATCTAAATTTATATTATAAATAAAAAAACAAAAAGGTGAAACGTGGTGAATAATTTATTTTTTTTATTTTTTTATTTTTTAACAAATTCTAAAACTGGATATATGCAGTGTGCAAATGGGGAAAATAAATTATAAATTTAATATACAGTGTGTAACTGTGGTGTAGATTTAAATATTTAAAAATATCTATTACGTTTCCCATAATGTGTAATATAAAATAGAAATAAATTATCACCCGATCCACAATATTTGCGTTATTGTTAAATTATTCCTAAAACTATTTTAATTGATAACTATAAACTATAAATTAAAACTAATAAGCTCCTAATTAATTATAATGATAATTACTTTTGGGTGAAATAAAACGCTTTTATGTTGTTTTTGTTGCTATATATTATATTATTTTTTATTTATATTTATATATTTAGTATATATACTTATTTATATTTATATATATTTATTTATTTATTTATTTATTTATTTATATTTATATTTATATTTATATTTATATTTATATTTATATTAATATTATCTACAAATTTAAAAATGGCTTCATAAATGATCAAACTTTTATTTAACCAATTTTATTATTATTATTTTTATACAATTATACCATATCTAAGTTATTTTTATTTTTATTATTTATTTTTCGATCTATTTTAAATATATGTTACAGTATTATGAATATGATTATGAAATTATTATGAATATTTTATAGTACTATTGTTGTTTTTTTTTTTTTTTTTGTTTTTATTATAAATAGTATAGAAAAAAAATTTAAATTTTTTTTTTTTAAAAAAAGCTTCGGTGTGGATTTTAATTTTTTTTATTTTTTTTATTTTTTGTCAAATCTTCGCTATAAAAAAAAAATTTTCTACGGAAAATTAATTAATAAAATGTAAATCTAAATATTCTTGTGGAACACTTCCATTTAAAATTTGATTTAATTATTATAATATTTAAAAAATTTTTTTGTTTCTATTTTTCAATTTTTTGTATTTTTTTTTTTTATTTTTCTCTTTTTTTTTCTATTTTTTTTTTTTTACACACAAAAAATATAATTGATCAGTTTTGAAAATTTATTTATAATACAAAAATAAAATAAAATTATTTTATATTTTTTTTTATTTTATTTATTTAATACTTTCTCGTTTTTTTTTTCCTATTTTCCTATTTTCCTATTCCTGATTATTTTATATTACAATTAATTATACAAATTATTATTATTATTATTATTACTATTACTATTACTATTACTATTACTTTTAAATTATATCATCTAATGCTAAACAACAGTTTTTATGTTGAAATTCACGTGATATATATTCACCTGATAAGCTGGCATCTAAATCTGGGGTTAATTTTTTTAAAATAAAAACTTTGAATGAAGAGAAGTCTTGAACAAATTCAACAAATAAATGACAACTGAAATATTTCCCATTTCTTTTTTTCATCACACACGGTTTTTGGAAAGTGTGAATTTTTTTTACCATTGCCTCTAATGCATATCTGTTACTAAAAATTTTAAAAAAAAAAGTTAATATCTGTAAAAAATAACAATAAATTTTCATACTAATGTTATTACACACGTAAAAGGTATAATTTGTCTATGAACAACATCATCCCAGATTATTAATGGTGATTCTTGGTACAGCTCCTCAACATTTTCATACCCTATTAATCTACAAAAACTATCATTGATTGAAACTAAATCTTTTGTCGGGAATGAAAATTGAGCAAAGGGTAAATCAAATTTTGTTAGTAGTAAATGAATTTTCTAAAAATTTGGCATAGTTACGTTTTAAAAGAGAAGAGATTGGAGAGATGAGGTAAGATGAGATGAGAGAGAGGTTCGGCACAAATTTGAGTTTGGGAATGGATGGATGGAGAGAGATTTGGTGGGAGTAATATTAAAATTAAAAAATAAAATAATTTGGTTAGATATACTATAAATATTTAATTTAAAATGGCTAATATAAATTTATTTGATTTATATAGTAATTTTTTTTTTTTTTATAGGAAGAAGAAGGAGGTGGAGTTATTGACTGGAAATAAAATTGATTATTATTGTGTGATAATATTGTTTTTTTTTTCTTTTTTAAAGATAATTTACCGATTCAATTTCTTGATTTGGTGTCCAAACTGAATTAGGTACCAACAAATAACGAGGAGCTGGACTATATAATGGTCTGGAGACACCATTTGGATATTGGAGGAATGTTGAAATTCTTTCCAAAGATTGATGAATCTTTTTAAACTCGTTAATTAAAACCTCAGGTAATTGTTGTGGTTGTTGTTGGCAACATTTAACGATTTCTAATTTTTCATCAGCTTGATGGTTGTGTTGATGAGTGCCATTGCCGGTGGTTTTAATTGGATCGACTGATTCTGGGGCACCATCAATTGCAAATGGGCTCTTGACGCAACATCCATAAGGTGAGGAAGCAACCAATGGATCTTGAATAGATGAGGCTTGTGAGTTTATCAAAGTTGAAAGATTTGTAAAAACATTTTCTAATGAACTGTGAACATTTGATCCAATTGCCGATGAACCCTCTTGTGATTCTAAAACAGCTGGTAAATGGCCTGGGCTATTTGGGCTAGACAAAGATGATTCTGAAAAGCTTTGAACTGGTGTCGAGGAGGCTGAACTTGGACTGTTTGGACTTAAAATTGGTGAAGCAGATAAATTATTTTCCTCTTCTTTAAGTTTTGATGGTGATGGTGGAGATGTTGGTGATGTTGGTGTTGAAGTGGTGGTAGTGGTTGTAGTAGTAGTGTTATTTATATTATTATCTATATTATTGTTACTATCGCTACTGGTACTATTTGGATATGTAAAATAGAATGGGGATTGATTATTTACAAGGTTGTTATTACTATTATTTCCAATTATTCCCATATTAAAATCTTGATTTCCATAAGTTAAAATTTGTTGTTCTGGTGATTTAACTTGTTTAACTATTCTTCTTTGTACTACTGTATTATTATTATTATTACAATTATTAGTGTTGTTATTATTTAAACTTGAGGTTGTTGGTTGTGGATATTGTGCAGTGAGTGTTGTTAAGCTATTTGCATAACCAAGGTTATCAGGTGTAAAGTTTGGATGGCTTGGGATAAATGTGCCCATATCAGCAATTAATTGTGGAAGGACTGGAACATTTGAAACATCCTTTTTAATTCTCTTACTTGGTACCTTTGGTTTTCTTGGTACATCACGACAAGAATCTTCAATGCCGTTTTTAACACAACGAACACATGGTCTTTGGTGGTCACAAGCAACCTTAGAGGATCTGCAGTTTAAGCAAGCTCTTTTAGCTCTCTTCTTAATAACTGGAACGGTAATAATTTGGGTTTGAATTCCATTGTTTTGTTGTAATGGTTGTAATTGTTGAACAGTTAATTGTTGTTGAAGTTGAATATTGTTTAATATATTATTATTACCATTATTATTAGTGGTATTGTTTTCAAAACCAATATTAAAGTTATTATAAAATTGAGAACTGTCAACAACAGTGTTTGCAATAGTTTGTTGTTGTTGTGCAATTAAACTTTGATTTAAAAAGTTTTGATGAATGGTATTCATATCGTTACCATTGTTATTATTATTGTTATTATTTGTAGTAAAAGTGATTTGTGGTTGATACATTTTTAAATATTAATTGAAATTATTATTATTAATTTATTAAATTATGTGGAAAAATTATTGATTTTAGAAAAAAAAAAGTAATATGATTTTTTTAAGAAACGGGGGAAAATAAAATGATTATATATGATTATTATTATTATTTTAAATTGGAAGCAGGACTAAAAAAAAGGATTTCTTTTAACAGAAAAACTATTCTTTTTAACGAGAGAGAAAGAAATAAAGAGAACTCGATTTAGATAGCGTTATAACACATTAAAACTTTCAAAGTAGAAAGGTTTTAATATCGGTTTGTTTTTTATATAAAGAGTTGAATTATTTAGTGATGTAATTTTTGTAAATTTCTATTTTGTTTAAAACAAAAAAAATAATAATAAATAAATAAAAATATATGTATATATATTAAAATAAAATAATAAAATGATATATAATAAATAATGTATAAATTGTTATGAATACAAAAAATTATTAATTTCAAATAATAAAAAAAAAAAAACAAAAAATAAAAAAAAAAAATTTTGATTTTTTAAAAAAAAATAAAAAATAAAAAATAAAAAAAAAAAAATTAAAAAAAAGTTTTTCGTAATTTGGGTTGTATGTACCCAAATTTGATAAGTTCAAAAACAAAAAAAATCAAGAAAAAAAAATTGGATAGTTTTGTTACGCAAAATCAATATACAGAGGAGAGCCCACCATAAGAGCATAAGCAATTATATTGTTGTATAAGAAAATAAAAAATAAAAAAAAAAAAAAAAAAGGAAAAAGAAAATTGTTAATAATAATTTTTATTTATATATATAATAAATAAAATTGATTAATCTCAAAATATTATATATATATTATTTTTATTATCACTATTATTTGGAATATAATAATAATAATTTAGAAAAGAAAAATAATAATTATAATAATTATTGATTATTGTTGTTGAATCAAAAATAGTTTTATGATCATTACCCAAATGCTTTATAACACAGGTAAAGAAATAATAATACTTTAATTGTGTTTGTATAGCTATTGGGGCAGGAAAAAAAAGAAAAGAAAAAAAAAAATTTATGATGGGAAAATAAAAAAATTTTGTAAAAAAAAATTTTTGTAAAAAAAAAAAAATAAAAATAAAATTAAATAAAATAGATAATTGTTCGTAATAATTTTATTTATTTTGAATTTTTTTTTTTATTTTTTTTTTTTTTGCAAATTTTTCATTCGAATTCTCTGTATTGCAAATTCCATTATGAAAATTTGTGAGAATATATCTCTTCGTTTTAAAAAATCAATTGTAAAAAAATTTATTTAGAGATAGAAGCTGATATTTGAGTCACAACAAAAATTGATTTTTTTTTTTTGATAATCGAACAGTGGATTTCAAAAAAAAATACCACTTTTTTTTTTTTTTTAAAAATTAATTTTTTATTTTTTTTTTTATTTAACTTAAATAGTTTAATTATGCTCTTCTTCATATTCTTTTTCATATTCGAGGTGAACATATGGACGAGTGGATTTTCCTAATAAAAGTGGTAAAAATTTTTTTAAAAAATTAATAGCTTTTCTTGATTATTTTAAATAAATAAATATAATAACTTACTGGTTGGAATAGAGTAACTTGTTCTTTTATTGGTGGTATTTGGTTTAATATTAACTTCATCATCATCTCCGTTATCATCTTCATCATCGTCATCACCATCTTCTTCTTCATCGTCATATGGTGAGGTATAGTTGTTGGCTGTAAAAAAGAAAAAAAAAAATAATTAATATTGTGTTTGTTTTTTAAATATCTAATTGAATCTTGAATATTTACCATCAAATTCGTCATCGTCATCATCAAATTCATCATCATCACCTTCAACATATTCGATATCACCGCCGTTTTCGAGATCATCGATTTCATCTTCGTATTCTTCTTCTAATTCTTCTTCTTCTTCGATTTCTTCTTCATCTAATTCATCTTGATCACCTTCTTTATTTAATACTTCATTGAATACTTCTTCTGGGAAGTAATTCATTTCACTATATGTACCCTTGGATAATCTACTTAATAATTCTTTCTTAATATTAACAGTGAGATGTGCAGCAACCAATGCTTTATTTTCACGAGTTTTATCTCTTCTTTCTGCTTTTTTATTAATTGGTACTAATTCACGTCTATTGATATAAAATTAAAATATTAGTATTGGTTTAATTAAATATTTAATATATGAATTGATAGTTGTTATATTTTTGTTGTTGTTGTTGTTCTACATACCTAATTTGTTTTCTCATTTTTCTCATTCTAATTAAATATTGAGTAATTCTAATAAATCTTTGCTTGACACGATGACTCATATGACCTGGCCAAAACTCTAAATTTGAATCGATTTGTTCTATTGCCTTCATAAAGTTTGGATCTAATTTAATCTTTTCCCAAAGTTTTGATGGTGTGTGTGCTCTTTCGACAGTTTTCATATATAAATAAATAACACCTTGTTCTTCACGAACTGTTGCATAACGACTATTTGCTAAAGGACATGATACTTTATTGCAAACACCAGTTACATTATATTCATTTCTACAAAATTTGGTTTTATTAAAGCTAGATTATTAAATTATATAATAAAATTAGTAAGATATAGATAGGTTGAAAAAAAAATTTAACATTGTCAATGAATATACATACGTTGATCTATAGGAGCAAAAGTTTTTGCTAATTACATCCCAAATAATATCATCTGATTGCATTTTATATGTGTATATGTATAATTTATGTAAATTTGGTTTTATATATAGGTGGTGGTGGGTATTGTGGTTTTAAAAATTTAAACTAAAAATTATGATATTATATAGTTTAATTAACTTGTTGAATTTTTTGTTTTGATTTTATTATTATTAATATTACTTAAAAGGGATCTAAAAGGACTTAAAAGAGTTTTGTTTATTTACTCTCTATTATAGTATAATTATTAATAATAATAGACAACCTTTTTTAAAAATATTATAGAAAAATAAAAATAAAAATTTTTTTTTTTTTTTTTTTTTTTTCGTTTTTTTTTTTTTATTTTATTTTTTTTAATTTTTTTTTTTTTTAAATTTTTTTTTTTTAACTTTGAATATTTTTTGATTTTAATATTATTTTATTTTTCATTATTTATATATAAAAATGTCATTGTTTGGTGGAAAAACATTCAAAAATGGAATTTATTTAATTCCAAAATGGAAATATATTAAAGGTGATAAAGTATGAACAGCTAACAATAAATAGGACAGTTTGATTGCATATGCATCAATAATAAAAATAAAAATATGGTTTAGTTTCATATGATAAAGAAATCAAAATCAAATCAATACCAAATCAGTAATCATAGGATACAATATCGTATCAATTTGGGATATGTTTGATATTAAACAGGTTAAATCACATCAATAAATATCAAATATTGCATATCCACAAGATATTGATTATTTTTATAATCTTCATTTTCATATGACAGTAGTAATCATAGTAGTGATAAATACTAACCAACATTAATCAATATTTATAGGTTGAAATTATTTCAGGTAGAGATAAAGGTAAACAAGGTATTATTAAATCAGTAAATAGAAAACACAACAATTTAATTGTTGAAGGTTTAAAATTAATTAAAAAACACACCAAACCCACCAAAACACAAAGACAAACCGCTTTTACCAAAGAAGCCCCAATTCATTATTCAAATGTTTCACATATTGATCCAAAATACAGGTAAGTGTTTTGTTTTATTTTATTTTATTTAATTATATTTTATTTTATTTTTATTTTATTTTTATTTTATTTTTTTTTTTATCAGATTATTAATTTCATTTTTCAAAAAAATCTTAGTACCCCATGTAAAGTTAGATTTCAATTAATTAATGGTGTTAGAGAAAGAGTTTCAAGGGCCACCAATACAATTGTTCAAAAACCAGATTTCACCCAAAAATTCAAAAAATGGAGAAAAGATAACACTGATGGTGTTTATGATACTGTCCCTGAAGTTGCCAATAAGAAAACATTTAATGGTATTATTGATTCAATTTTCCCATTCAAGACTTATTAAAACAATTTAAATCAACATTATTATAATAAAAAAAAATAAAAAATAAAAAAAATGAATATAAATAGAAATATATAATATAACTTAAAAATTATTATTATAAAAAAAAAATAAAAAAAAATTAAACTTTTAAATTTATTTTCAATATGGCATTAAATTCATGGCAATGTGTGAATTTCATTTCATTTATTTATTTTTTATAATTAATTAAAAAATATTATTTGAATAATTAAATTGAACAATGATGGTTTCTTAAGAAATGAATATTAAAATAAAAAAATATAGTTATTATACTTTCCTTAAAGTTGACTTTTAAATTAAATTTAATTCTAAAAACTATTATTATAAAATCTATAGTGGCTATATTAGTTAAAAATTATTATTATTTTAATTTTTAATAATGATGTTGGCAATCTTAGAAATTTCATGAGTGTGGTAAATTTCATTTTTTTTTAATTTTATTTTTTTCTTTTTTTTATTAAAATTTTTTTTTTTTTTTTTTTAGTGGTGTGTGGGGGAAATTTTTTTTTTTTTTTCATGTTCATTTTCATTTTCATTTTATCAATATACATTTATTTTATTTTTTTATAATAGCTAAGCGAACAAACAAACAGGTAATTATATATAAATATATAATATGTGATAAAAATAAATACTAATTTTATTTTTTTTTTTATTTTTACACACTTTTTATTTATTTTTTATCTTTTTCATTGCATTTTTTTTTTTGTAAATAATCAAATATTATTTTTTGTTTTTTTGTAAATTTTCTTTTATTTTTATTTAAAATAACCCTGTACATTAAAAAAAAATCACCATAAAAC